GGCGGGGGGCCCTCAGGGCCTCCTCCAGCCTCTCGCGGGCCCCCGGGCACATGGCCAAAGCTGCAGAGAGAGGCAAAGAGCCGTAGACGGCGCTGACGTTGACAGCAGCTTTGCAAAAAACTGCACCTTCTTGGAAAACCCTCGTCAGCCCTCCGCCCTGGCCGGGGCCCCTCTCCCAGCGGGTGTTTTCAAACTTCTTCGCGCAGACGCGGGGCCCCGCGTCCTCATCCTGCTGCTGCTGCTGCTGCTGCTGCTCGGCCGCGAAACTCGCCTCCAGCTCCTCCACCGCGCTGCAGATCGAAGACTGAGCCTCGTACAAAGAAGACACCCAAGCCTCGCGAAAGGCCTCGTCTGGGTGCTCTTCGGGTCCCTCCTGCAGTGACACAAACGCAGCAGCAGCAGCAGCAGCAGCAGGGGTGCGGTCAGTCCGGTTGCAACACACAAGAGCACACTACACCGTCTGCGGCTACAGCTAGCTGCTACTCAGAGACCCTTCAGCAGCAGCTCTGGACAGACACGAGAGACGCAGCGCAGCAAACGAACAAGAACACCGGGTCTGCAGCAGCAGTCAGCAGCAGCCAGCAGCAGCAAACCCGCATGCAGGCGCAAAGACAGTGGCCGGAGAAGCTGCTGCTGCAGCTGCAGCGCCCGAGCCAGCGGTGAAGCAACAGAGCCGCATGCAAGACCGGGGTGTACGTACAGCTTTCATCATCTTGAGCCGGAAGCAAAAGTCGGGAAGCGGCGAATCGAGAAGGCCCAGATCTGCGGCGGCCGATGCGCGGGAAGTCGAAGGACATTAAAAATTGCAAAAAATTAAAAAAACGAACTTTGTGTTTCTTCGGGCCTTTCTTTTGCGAGCCTGGAGAACGAGAGAACCCGGAGAGTTTCGAGGGGCTGCTCCCACGCGCCCGTTTTGCTGCTGCTGCTGTTGCTGCTACTCAAATTCAGGAAGGAACGGTCTTGCAGCGAGCCCGCCCCGCAGTGTTCAGCAGCGCTGACGGTATCTGTGTAAAGCAAATACAAAAACAACTTTAAAAAGCAAATGTTTCAGAGATTTTCTCCGCGGGAACATCGATGATCGGACCGAGACGCGCAGGCGCACAAGCAGCGTTGCAAGCGCGGAACTGTGTCTAGCCCGGGGCAGCAGATCCACAAGATCATGTCCTTGAGGCAGAAGGAACGCACACATTAACCAAAGGAATTTTCCTACCGTTTTGTTGTTCCTTTAAATTTTGTTCAACTTGCTGCTGTTGCTTTTAAGGCCACGAGGTTATCGCTCTTAGACTCTGCAGGACGTGCAGCTCGAGGCAGCGATGCTCTGCGCCGTTCAAGATTTTCGCGGCATTGTGGCCCATAATGCACCAGTACACATTAAAATTCCTATTTTCTGCATGAAATGGCATTTAGGTAGAGCTTTTGGCCTGCGCTGCACCGGTGCAAATGATGTGAAGGCAATGAGGGAATCGGGTGTACAGGCAGCTTGGCTCGTTGCCGCCGCAGCGAAAAGCCTCTGCCGCACTATTTATTTCTTCCCGAATTTATTTATTATCCTTATTTTTGCATTTGCACGTTTTTGCCCTTCTTCAGCTGCGTGTTCACACAGTCACAGCCGCCTACCCAGAGCCTCCAGGGCAGTCCTTGTGACCGCAGTGCACTTTTGCTGGCTGCAGTGTGTGCCCACGAAGCAGAACAACACATTTATGCAGGTTCTAATGATATGGCTGACGGTGTTTCTCATTTTTAAATGCTTGAAGTTGCCTAGTACGAAACACCAGCCGTTCAACGTAACGAAGCCTCGCCAGCTGCGCTCTGCAGCGCAAAGGAGAGCAAATCCTTAGTTATTTTCCTTATTTTTGCGCCTCTAATCGGTCCCTGTGTTCATCAAGCCATCCGCACACTAAAGGGCGGGGCAGTAAAGAGAGCAGACCCCCAAATGCAGCACTTAGCAGCAAGTCCTTGCGTCTTGCTGCAGCAGCAGCTGCTGCTTCAGCAACTGCTGCAGCAGCTACAGCCCGTAGCTGTGGGCTACTGCGGCCTAGCACGGAGAACCAGCAGCTTACTAGGTCTGCTGTAATCCACAGCCTAGGGGCAAGAGCTAGGCGACTAAACCCTAAACCCTAAACCCTAAACCCTTGAGGCAAATGCACAGAGCAGTTGCTCTTCAATTGAAAGCACGAAGAACTGCGCGTCGATGCGTTGCGCTTTAAAGAGTCTGAGGTGTACTCGGGTGTACGTACACCGCAGCACCGTGGCCTACTTGGCTGCGCCACAGACAAGCTCAGGAAATTAATAAAGTAGAAGCGCCAGTTAGTGCAGCGCTGAGGGATTGACACACAGAGACAAAGACACAAGACATGGGAACTCCCTTGGCTGCCGGCTCGTACCTACACTGCTGCAGCAGCAGCTGCTGCTGCTGCTGTTGCTGCTGCAGCAGTTGCGTAGGCAGTTGCAGCGGCAGCTGCAGCACCTGTTTACAGACAGCGGCCGCAGCAAGTGGATGAGGCGCACGCCTTAGCTGGTGCAGATGCCTCTAGCTTCGGTAGGCTCTGCCTGCAGCAGCAGCAGCAGCGACAGCAGCTGCTGCTGCTGCTGCTGTGGCGGCTGCTGGCTGCTGCAGCAGGAATGCGGTGGCTGCCTGCCCCCCCGCCCGGCAGGGACAAAGAGCAGCAAATGGGAGAAGCGCCGCAGCAGAGCCTAGAAGACATCCATCATGTCTTTTTCCAGCTCCACCTGGTCGTAGAGATCTGCTGCTGCTGCAGCAGCAGCAGCTTCTGCTTCTGCTGCAGCGGCGGCTCTCGCCATTCCCTCTGCTGTCATTTGCTGCAGCAGCTCCGACCTGGACGCGCAGCGCAGCACGTGCTCGCGCCGGATTTCTAGCTGCTCAACAGCAGCTGCTGCAGCCCAAATTTTCTCCCGTGCTGCTGCCAGGGCAGCAGCAGCAGCCCGCAGCCGCTGCGCGCCTTCTGCTGCTGCCTGCAGAGCCACACGAGCAGCAGACACGCTGCATGCATGCGGGGACACAGAGCTGGAAGCTGCGCAGCAGCAAATGCTGCAGGGGCAGGGCTACGAGGCTACTGAGCAAGTGTGTGCTGCAGCAAGGGCCACGTGCTGGTGCCCTGCTTAGCTGCTGCTGCTACAGCTGCTGTTACTGCTGCTGCTGCCGTCTTCGCGCTGCTGCTGCTGCTGCTGCTGCACCTCATGTCACCTACCTGCTTGACAGACTGAGCCTCCTCGTCAGCCGCTTCGCCGGAAGCAGCAAGTGCTGCAACGACGCTCTGCAGAGCAGCAGCAGCAGCAGCTGCTGCTGCTGCGCCGTCTGCGCCCGCTGACGTCCATACGCGCCAATCAACGCCTCCGAATGCAGCAGCAGCACTTGTTGCAGCAGCTTCGCCTACAGCAGCAGCCGCTGCTGCTGTTGCACGCTCAGCAGCAGGAGCAACCCTTTCGGTGGCCGCTGCCGAATCCGGCAGCAGCAGCGGCATCCCTTGCCGCAGCAACTGCTGCTCGTGCTGCTGCAGCAGCAGGAGCCACGGAGAGAGCAGCTGCAGCTCAGTACTCACAAACGTCTCCCCCAAACAGAGAAGATGCTGCACCTGCTGCAGCTCCGTCAGCCGCAGCAGCAGCTGCTGTAGCCAGCGAGAGAAGTCTTTGCGAGAGCCCAAGTACAGCGCGCAGAGGATCTGCAGCAGCAACGCAGCACCGCAGCAGCAGTAGCACCTTAGAGGCTAGCCTACGGACCATGCAAGGCATTTACAGGTCTGCATGCACTGCAGCAAAGACAAGAAAAGTACTGAGTCATTTCTCTCTTTTGCTGCTTGCCTGGTGCTGCAGGTGCTGGAGCGAAACGCGCATGGGGCAGTTCGCTACAGCCTCTAGCACTGGGCTCCGGCGTTGCTGCTGCTGCTGCTGCTGCTGTTGGCGCTTGTTTTGCTCCGTGCTGTTCGCTGCAGTGGCAACTGCGGCACCGGCCTCTGCTGCTGGTGCTGCTGCTGCTTTGGCTGCTGCTGCTGTTTTGGCTGCTGCTGCTGTGTTTGCTGCTGCAGTGCCAGAAGGCCACCCCTTGCCGTAATAGTCGCGAATTAAAGTGAGGCCTCTTGCCTGTCGTAGTGCAGACAAGCTGCTGGGAGTTAAGCCAATAGACGCTAGCAGGAACCGCTGAGCAAGCGTCGCTAAGAATCCCTTGCTGCTGCTGCTGCTGCTGCTGTTGCTGTTGCTGTTGCTGCTGCTGCTGCTGCCCCAAAAACTGCTACACGCATCCTGCAGTGCCGGGCTGCTGCGCTGGATGCGGTCAAGGAGAGTGTCTGCTGAGTCTTCATCTGCTGCAGTGCTGCCTGCGGAGTCGCTGCAGCTAAGGCCGTCCTGCTCGCTGGCGCCCGCCTGTTCAGCAGCAGCAGCAGCAGCAGCAGCAGCAGCTCGCTGCCGCTGCTGCTTTAAGGAAGCCCAGGAAACAAGGGAGAAGAAGTCTGACGCTGAGAACGCCAGGTCATCAATCCGTTTAAACTCATCTGCAACAAACGCCAGATTTTCTGTGAAGCCGCTGCAGCAGCAGCACCTACTGCTGCCACAGCAGTTGCTGCTACTGCTTCTGCCAGTGCCTCCGCTGCTGCTGAAAAGACGACAAGAAAATATGCGCCCCGACCTCATAGCCACTAGCAGCAAAAGGAAGGCAGGAGCAGCAGCAGCAGGGCAGAGACGTGTCAGCAAGGAAGATGGGTCCCCCACGGGTTGTTCCTCAGTTGCTGCTGTCACCTCTGCTGCTGCTGCTGCTGCTGCTGCT